TGCAGTGCGCGAATCCATCCACCCAAGTGGGGATCGAACCCGGGACCTCACAAGCCAGAACGCAAGCGTGTTACCCACTCCACACCGCCCGGCAGCTGATTAGATAGTTTTTCATTTTCCACTCACACGATTAGCACAACCCATGTTTACGAGCTNTGGGGGGGGGGGGGGGGTTATGACTCGGTTGGAAATATTCACAACCTAACTGATTATTTCACGGGAGTAATGAAGGATTTGATTTAATTTCAAGGATAGTGTAAAACGGTCTGATCAGCTGAGTAACCAAAAAACTGAACTGTACATGATCTATCGAATCCTATAATTGCAAGCAATTCACTAGTTCGAAACTAGTTCGAACCCCCCAGACTAATTGCACGTATTTTTTTTTGAAAAATTTCGCATTTTTTCACTCGACAGAGTAAATGACATAATGTACACAAATACGGAACACCTAATGGACATATTGTGATGGGAAAGGAACTCACCAGGCTTCGGATCACCACCCAGTATTTCGCCTTCTCAAGTGCTCCTAAAACGTATGCGAAAAATTCATGATTTCAGAGTTGCTCATATCCTAAAACTTTTTACCTTTGTCTAATTTGTAAAAATAATGCAACTTCACATTTACTGCTCCTGGTTTCAATTTGATTAGCGGACACTCAAATCTATAACTAATTTTGAGCACTTGTGTTTTTCTTTGAGCAATTGACCGTGTTTGGTGTACTCAAGGAGAAGGAAGCGCCCGGCGGCGAGTGAGGCAGGGAGGCAGGGAGGGCGGACGGGAGGGGGCAGGAACAATTGTGATTCTCACGAGAGAAGCACTTTTTCCAACTTTTCGGACACGGTGATTTGATTCATCAATACTTTCAGATGATGTGTTTTGAATGCGGACCGAGTGTGTCCAGAAAGTCATTCTATAGGCTTGTCGTTTTGAACGTTGTTTGTGATGAAATTCAAAACTACTTCATCTAAAGTGAGTACAAAAATCCCAGATACTGTTTCTGCAGCCGACTAAACATTCCGGTTTTTAGTACGAGCACAGTTTATCACAATTCAGGGAAACAGATCAAAAATTGCGTGATGTTGATAATACCACTACCATTAATAATAAGAAATGAATAATGGGTCGAGATCGCCAATCGCCAATCGCCAATTTGTATAACATGTGTAAACATATATGCTTATGTTTCAGTCAAAAACTGTACACTGTTCGTTACGCGAAATAAAATAATAATAGTAATAATGACAATCAAGTATAGCACGAAAGGTAAAAAAAAATATCATTGCTATTTGTTTCATGTACAAAACTTTGAATGTAGTTCACTTGCAACCTGTTCCTTTCTGGTTAGGAGTCGGTACAGGTACAATTGGTATAATTGGTATAATTGGTAATTGGTGTATAATTGGTAATGCCAGAGGATATATGCCAAAATGAGGAGCGTGTGGACGGATGGGAACGACAAGACGATCGATCAGAGTGCAGCGATTGAAGAGGGTCATCTAGAATCTAATGGACAAATTTAACACAATGATTAATGTGACATCATCAATGAGTTCCGTGATTAATAAATCGATCGGAATTAATGATGCACGACTGATGATCATCAAACCACAGCAAATTGTTTTTAAGTCTTGTTTTAAAAGACTGGGAAACACTACGGGAGAACAATAGAATAGAATGGATAAAACGCATTGATGAACGAAAGATGACAGGACTGACTGTGGGGTATGGAATTGCCCGAGTTTGCGTAACTGGAAAGATAGGCATCCCACTTTTCCCATACAGTTGTAAATAGATTGCTGTCGATGGTGACACCCAGGTGCTTGATTGAGGTCATTCTGGATACAAGTTTACCGTTAAGGGTAGCCGAGTCCGTTGGAAATGAGGAGCGGGAAAGACTGAAAATGTACACTCTACGCACTTAGATATGTAAAGACTGAGATCAGATTGGTCAGAAAACTGTTGGTTGTGGGACGGATTTTCAGTAAAAGAATGAAATTCCGAAGGAGATAAAACTGTTTGACAAAACAACGTCATTAGCATACTTTTGGATGAGCGCAGGGAGTGGGACCGAAAGATCACTAGTAAAGGCAGAAAAAAGATATGGAGATAGAACAGCACCTTGAAGAACACCAGAATTATTAACAAGAGGTTTTGATGTCCTCCTTCTTAATTTGGTGCACTGGACCCTTTCTGTGCAGTATTCAGTAAGCTACGTGACTGGGATCTATCTGGTTTATCAGTTTGACAAAAAACCATAGATATCAGGCCACACCAACCTAGCCACACAATGAGCCTCGTTATTCACAATTGTCTCAATCCGTGGTGCATTACCACGGGCTTGCAGTAATACCCAGAGTTGCTCAAATCTTTCGATTCGAGACACTGCATCCTGGCACATAGTTTTCAGTGAAGGTCATCACTCCTTTTCTACCTCATTCTGCTCCAGTACCTGCCCGTGAAATCACTCAGTTAACCTTCGCCGTACTGTTTCATGCGTCTCACGTTCAGCAGCCATTAGGAATTCGAGGTATTGCATGTGATAGTTCACGTGTTATTTTCCCCAAAATTACACATTTTATTCATTATTGAATTAGTTCTGCAGTTCGTTGCATACCAGTTGTGATATTGGTAAATACTGAACAAAAAGCTGTGTTCTAATTCGAAGCGAACGAAACACTAGAAATAATCAGAAATAGAGGCAGGATGAATTTTAAACCCTTAAATTTGAAACAGTCCAAGAGTGATTCTGCCATCCAAACCGTTAGCTCACGTCCGGGAGAAACGCAGTTTTCCGACAGATGTTAACCGGTATTCATTACAATCCACCAATGACCATGATTCACTGGGTCGAATGACCATAATGGACACAAATGCGATGGTCACTTGTCCTAATTTGAGGCAGTGCTTCATCCTGACACTTTGCCTTCATCCTGTGTTGTCACTGACCTCGGACCCCATGAAGAAATCATGTTCACGTGGGCACACGAGAATGCGGAGGGGGAGATTTCCTACAGCCCATGTGAAATAGAACTGAATTTCCAAGCGACCAAGATTACTACTTCTGAGCATGTCTAATGGGGATGTGTACCAAAGCGTCTGACGAAGATCTGGGAGGAACTTTTCATGATTGAAGTAAGCACTGATCACGAATTACGAATCATAACTCACGAATCACGGGATGTCACAGAAACAGTGAATAATCGCGCTGGCATATGCACAACAGTATATCACGTAACCGAGATACAAGGAAAGGAGCACAAAAGTAGCAGTTTATTTATTGAAAGAAATCAACGGAATCAAATAACATGTACAAAACAAGTTCAATGGTTAGCCACCTATCCATCAGTCACGTGCGCTTCTATTCTGGATGTAATACGGCTTCTGTCTAGACCGCACAACTTGTGATTGGTCGACACGATCGGTCTTTGGTTCATTGTCCAGAAGCTGTTACGCTTAGGCGCTTAGCTGATGTCATCTGGGAAGGTTAACTCATCACAGTTGTCCAGAAACCGTAACGCATCGCTCCGTGGTTTGCGTTATCCCGTAGACTAGGATCACCACATTGTGAGCTGGTTGGCACAACGGTTACCCGCACGCCGGAGTTTAAAATTCCGACGAGATGGGAGATATACATCCTCGGTAAGCACTAAGGAAAGGGAAACTATAGTCTAGAGCTGACCACGTTTACGGTTGACTCGATAAACCGATAACTGTGCATGAATATGGTGATCTGCATGATGGTCAGTTCAAAGTAATATGATATAATCAATTTGCTGGTAGTAACTGAGTCCATTGCATGTTCCACGAACCCCAGCCAAGTGGACTTTAATATAAGTGGCCCCTTTAAGTGCTTCCCTTCTTGTCGGACCTCGACTAACTAACTGTACACTGGTTCAAGCACTTACACTACTCTGGCCCAAAGCGGACAACGCATGAGCGTTGTGATGACCCAAATCAACGCTTACGTAACTCGTTCTTGTCTGAACCAGAGAACTATAGAGACAAACACGTCCCTACCCCACCCCTTTCCTATAACTGTTTGACCCGAAAACAACACTTTGCCACTATTTTCTTACGTAAATTTGATTGTACTGGCTTGAGAAGGAACTCACAAATGTTCGCCCGCTGTCTGTGGTCTGACTGTACAGTCTTTGCTTGTCACTTTTGGTTTGTATGCACACTTGGCTATGAGATAATTACTTCAACTAAAAAGGAAGTTCCAATTACAAATACCTATACAACGGTACTATTACTGTGTTTGCGTATCTTGCGCAGTTTGCTCATTTACACACACACACACACAAAGCGTTCATCCAGTAAATTGATATTCTAGCCCTCTATCCGTTATGTCACGCAGTTGACTAGTCAGTCAAATACCACAGTTCACTTTTCGATCAGTAGCGATCACACCATATGACGCGGTGAAGCTGCAGTTGTCTGGACGCAATTTAGAAGATTTCGTGATCTCAGATCTATCAGGAATCCGAAAGGGTGGGGTTTCAGGAAACCTTTGGCTTTCAGAACAGACTACGTTGCAACACAAATCCCAATAGGAAATTTTGAAGATCAGTCGAGTTCGGTCTAAATGCAGAATGATACATTAACTTTGCCTCAAATGTATCTGAGATGGTGCCTATTCTCAATTCAAAATCGGCCCGAGAGCGTAGCAGTCAAACGCCCCGCTGACGGCTAGTGGTATGGCCCTACTCATCTGGAGCTCACCTAACATGGCTCAGAATGACCTGTGTTTGTAGCCTCTATTATAGAAATCTTTAGGTTCTTAGTAAGTAAGAAATCGCAAAGCTGATCTCGGGCTGCTAACCTGAGTCACCCGCATCTAGCCTGTCTTAGGTAGTTGGTGAAGCGTGATTCGAAACTTCTATTGACAAGTCGTAGGACCCTCCTTTGTGAATACTGTTCTATACGGTCACCAGCTTGATCATGTGATAGGGTGTATTGGGCACGTGATTGACTTGCTCGATAGGGTAACCGCTTCCTATGGATCGTAAATTTGAAGCATTGCTCGAATTTCCGATCGATAGCTTAGATCAAATTCCTCAAAATGAACATTCTGCATGGTCCTAGACTTTGAGTGGTACATCAACTCACAAGATGAACAGTGATCACGCCTTGTCTTAAAATCAGGCTAGTCAATAAAGAGAAACAAATAGAAATAAGCATGATCATATAATCTTCTGAAGCTCTGAACATTGTACGTGTTACCTACACAGACGGCATTTAATTAACTTCCTTGGTTTCAGATCCCACGTATTACCAACTGATCGATTCATCACAGACTGATTTATTCTTTTAGCTTATTGTATCACCCGAGATACGTTCAAGTCACTTTCAGTAATGTTTTTTACTCCATCGTGAAGCGAGCATACGCTTCAGAGTGGAAATTCGATCGATCGTGTCACACTCTAAGGACAAAGAAGGAAATAACACGGCACAGCTCTGAGAGATTACATCCTGGACAGACTTGNGACTTGCACTGCATCGTTGCTACGTATGGTGATCCCAGCCTGCCAGACGACGCATAACCTGGAGAGACACCTTACAGTTTTCGAACAATTGTGATCAGTCGAGCTTCATGGGTGACATCAGCAAAGCGCGTGCGTGCCACAACATCTGGACCACATACCAGCCAATCAGAAACCGTGCGGCCCAGACAGAAGCTGAACAACGGCAGAAATACTAGAACGCGATTGGCAGACGCCCGGATGACCAATGAGATTGTTTTGTACATATCATTTAATCCCCCATATTTCTTTCAACAAACTACCACTTCTGTGGCCTTTTCCTCGCGTCTCGGTTACATGGGATATTGCGTGCAAGTACCAGTGTGGTTCAGTGCTTACATGATGTCCATGATCGCTAATCAGTGACTCGCAGTCCGTGATTCGTAATCCGTGATTCGTGTTCCGAGTTCATTGCATACAACTACTTATCCTACAGTTACTACAAAAGCATAAAAAGAAAGTTTACGAACCCTATTTTAAAAATTCTCCCTCAGTAGAATGCTTGCAAGATAGATAGAGTCAACTTAGGGAATGCTCCTGACTACGCGCTCAGGTAAATCTTTCAAAGTATTTGCATAGGGAGAGCCAGACTGAAGGTTGAAGGAAACATTAACACATTTGGAAACACTAAATGCAGACAAGTACTGAAATGTGGTGATCAGATCGTTGTTCTGGCAGATTGGGTGTATCCACTGTGTTTGAAACCATTAGGCCAGAGATCAATGTTTGATGGTTGATGATTCGGATTCCGTGATTCGTACTAATACTATAACAATTACTACACTGCGTTTCAATTCTTGAGCGGATGCTGACTGCAGATTATGCTTCAAAATAATCACACAAAATAGCCGTTGGTTTTCGTTTAGTGCATTATAGTAACCAGGATGAAAAATTTAAAAAAGGTCTGGGAATGACAACACTTTACTTCCTCGATTACATACGCAGCATCCGGTGACACCATTACCCGAATAACCATCATCACCATCATCATACAAATCATCATCAACATCATCAAATTCATTCAAATAATAATCAGCACCTACAACCTCATCATCATCATCGTCATAAACATCATCATCGTCAACATCCGAATAATCATCACCATTATCATCATCATCCGAAACATCATCATCATCATCCGAATCTTCACCATCATCATCCGAATCATCATCAACTTCATCAACATAATCAAAATCACCATCCGAAACATCATCATCATCATCCGAATCATCATGATCATCATCCTAATCATCATCAAATACATCATCATCATCAAAATCACTATACGAAACATCATAATCATCACCATCATCATCAACATCAGCATGATCATCATCATCATCATCATCATCGTCATCATCAACATCCCGATCATCCGAATCATCATCATCAAAATCATAATCATCCGAATCATCATCATAATCATCCGAAACATCATCATCACCATCCGAATCGTCATCATCATCATAATCATCACCATCATAATCATCCGAAATATCATAATCGTCATCCGAATCATGATCATCTTCATCATCATCTTCCGAATCTTCATCATCCGAATCTTAATCGTCATCATCCGAATCGTCAACAACTTCATCAACAACATCAAATTCATCATCCGATACATCATCATCATCCCAATGATCTTCATCATAATCATCCGAATCATCATCATAATCATCGTCATCATCATCATCCTCCTCCTCCTCTTCATTATCATCTTCCGAATCGTCATCACCATCATCATCCGAATAATCATAATCATCATCATCATCATCAACATCATCATCATCATCAAATTCATCACCATCATAATCATCATCATAATTATCCGAGACATCATCATCATCAGCATCAACATTATCACCAAAATCATCATCATCATCATTATCTTCCTAATCGTCATCATCATCATCATCATCAACCGAATCATCATAATCATAATCATCCGAAACATCATCAACATCATCCGAAACATCATCATCATCATCATCATCATCATCAAAATAATCATCATTATCATCAGAATCGTCATCATCATCATCATCATCATTATCATCATCAAAATCAGCACCATTATCATCCGAATTGTCACCATCATCATAATCATCACATCATCATAATCATCCGAAACATCACGATCATCATTCGATTCGTCATCATCATCATAGTCATCATCATCGAAATCATCACCATTATCATCCGAATCATCATCATCATCATAATCGGCATCATCAAAATCATCAACATTATCATCATCATAAACATCATCAGCATAATCATCCGAAACCTCATCATCATCATCCGAATCATCATCATCATCTTCGTCACCATTATCATCATCCAAATCATCATCATTGTCATCCGAATCGTCATCAACATCATAATCATCCACATCAAAATCATCAAAGTCATCATCCCTATCGTCATCGTCATCATAATCATCCGAAACATCATCATCATAATCCGAATCATCTGAATCATCATCATCGACATCATCATCATCAAGATCATCATCACAATCACCATCATCATCATCTTCATCACCATTATCATCATCGAAATCATTATCATTAATATCCGAATCGTCATCAACATCATAATCATCATCATCATAATCATCCGAAACTTCATCATCATCATTCGGGTCTTCATCATCATCATAATCATTATCATCGAAATAATCGCCATTATCATCATCGAAAACATCGTCATTATCGTCCGAATAGTCATCATCATCATAATCACATCATCATAATCATCCGAAACATGATCATCATCCGTCAAATCGTTATCATCATCATCATCGTCATCATCATCGACATCATCATTATCATCCGAATCGTCATCATCATCATAATCATCCGAAACAGCATCATCATTATTCGAATCCTCATCATCATCATAATCATCACCATCGTAACCATCGTAATCATCCGATACATCATCATCATCATAATCACATCATCATAATCATCCGAAACATCATCATCATCATTCAAATCGTCATCATCCTCATAAACATCATCATCAAAATCATCAACATTATCATCCGAATCGTCATCATATTCATAATGATCCGAAGCATCATCATGATCATCCGAGTCACCATCATCCTCATCTTCATCATCATCATCATCATCATCATCTACAAAATCATCATCACTATGATCATCAACATCATCATCTACAATATCATCATCATTATCATCAGAATCGTCATCATATTCATAATGATCCGAAGCATCATCATGATCATCCGAGTCACCGTCATCATCATCGTCATCATCATCGTTATAATCATCACGATTATCATCCGAATCGTCATCATCATCATAATCATCATCATGATAATCGTCCGAAACATCATCATCATCATCCGAATCATCAACATCATCATCGTCGAAATCATCACCATAATCATCATCATCATAATCCTCCGAAACATCATCATCAACACCATCGTCATCATCAAAAGCATCACCATTATCATCCGAATCGTCATCATCATCATAATTATCATCATCATAATCATCCTAATCATCATCATCATCATCATCATATTCATCATCATCATAATCATCCGAAACATCATCATCATCATCCAAACCATCATCATGATCAACATCATCATCAACTACAAAATCATCATCATTACATCAGAATCGTCAACTTCATGAAAATCATCATCAACAAAACCATCACCATTATCATCCGAATCGTCATCATCATCATAATCATCGCCATCATAATCATGCAAAACATCATCGTCATCATCCGAATAGTCATCATCATCATAATCACATCATCGTATTCATCCGAAACATCATGATCATCATTCTCATCGTCATCATCATCATATTCATCATCATCAAAACAATCACCATGATCATCCGAACCGTCATCATCATCATAATCATCATCATCAAAACCACCACCATTATCATCCGAATCGTCATCATCATCATAATCACATCATCATAATCATCCGACACATCATCATCATCATCCGAATCGTCATCATCATCATAATCATCGTCAGCAAAACCATCACCATTATCATCCGAAAAGTCATCACCATCATAATCATCAACTTCATAATCATCATCATGGTAATCCTTGGAAAAATCATCATCATCATCCGAATCATCATCATCTACAAAATCATCATCACTATGATCATCAACATCATCATCTACAATATCATCATCATTATCATCAGAATCGTCATCATCATCGTCAACGTCATCATCTAATTCTTCAACATTAACATCCGAATCGTCATCGTCATCATAATCATCCGGAACATCATCACCATCATCAGAATCATCATCATCCGAATCATCATCATCATCATAATCATCATCATCATATTCATCCGAAACATCATCATCATCTTTCGAATCGTCATCATCATCGTAATCATCCCATTCATCATCATCATTATCGTCCGAATCGTCATCATCATAATCATCCGAAAAATCATCATCATCATCCGAATCATCATCATCATCATTGTCACCACAATCATCATATTCATCATCATTGTCATCCGAATCGTCGTCATCATCCTAATCATCCCAAACATCATCATCATCATTCGAATCGTCATCATCATCATGATCATCATCATCATAATCATCCGAATCATCATCATTATTTTCGTCCGAATCGTCATCATCATAATTATCCGAAAAATCATCATCACCATCCGAATCCTCTTCATCATGATCATCAACATCCTCATCAAAATCATCATCATTGTCATCCGAATCGTCGTCATCATCCTAATCATCCCAATCATCTTCATCATCATCTTCATCATCATTTACGAAATCATCATCATTATCATCATCATCAGAATAATCACCATTATCATCGGAATCGCCATCATCATCATAATCATCCGAAACATCATCATCATCATCCGAATCACCATCATCATCATCATGGAAATCATCACCATTATCATCCGAATCGTAATCATCATCATAATCATCATCATCATAATCATTCGAAACATCATCAGCATCATCCGAATCATCAACAACGTCCTAATCATCAACCGAAAAATCATCATCATCATGCGAATCATCTTCATCATCATCATCATCATCATCATTATCGTCGTCATCAACATCATAATCATCTTCATCATCCTCATCCGATTCATCATCATCATCATCTTCAAAATAGTCATCATCATAATCATCCGGAACATCATCATCACCATCCGAATAGTCATCATCATCATCATCATCATCTAAAAAATCATTATTATTATCATCAGGAACCTCATCATCATCATCATCATCATCATCATCATCATCATCATCATCATCATCATCATCATCATCATCGTCATCATCATCTACAAAATCAACATCATTATCATCAGAATCGTCGTCATCTCCAAAATCATCATGATTATCATCAGAATCGTCATCATCATCAGTATCATCATCATCAAATTCCTCATCATTATCATCCGAGTCGTCATCATGTACATAATCATCCGAAACATCATCATGAGCATCCGAATCAACATCGTCATCATCGTCATCACCATCATCATAATGATCATCATCGTTATCATCCGAAACATCATAATCATCATCCGAATCATCAACAACATCAAAATCATCATCCGAAAAATCATCATCATCATCCGAAAAATCATCATCATCATCAGAATCATCATCATCATCATCGTCATCATTATCATCATAATCATCATCATCATAATCATCCGTAACATCATCATCATCTATCGAATCGTCATCATCATCATAATCACCATCATTATCGTCCGAATGGTCATCATCATAATCGTCCGAATAATCATCATCATCATCCGAATCCTCTTCATCATCATCATAATCATCATCATCAACTTCATCATCATTATCATCCGAATCGTCATCATCATCATAATCATCCGAAACATCATCATCATCATCCGAATCATCATCCTCATCATTGTCATCATTATCATCATAATCATCTTCATCATCATCATCCGATTCATCATCCTCATCATCATCCTAATCATCATCAGCTTAATCATCCGAAACATCATCATCATCTTTCGAATCGTCATCATCATCATCATCATAATCACTATAATCATCCGATTCATCATCATCATTATCGTCCGAATGGTCATCATCATAATCGTCCGAATAATCGTCATCATCATCCGAATCCTCTTCATCATCATCATAATCATCTTCATCAAATTCATCATCATTATCATTCGAATCGTCATCATCATCATAATCATCCGAATCATCATCATCATCATCCGAATCATCATCATCATCATTGTCATCATCATCATCATAATCATCATCATCATAATCATCCGAAACATCATCATCATCCTTCGAATCGTCATCATCATCATAACCATCCGAATCATCATCATCATTTTTCGAATCGTCATCATCATCATAATCATGATCATTATAATCATCCGATTCATCATCATCATTATCGTCCGAATGGTCATCATCATAATCGTCTGAATAATCATCATCATCATCCGAATCCTCTTCATCATCATCATAATCA